TTAGCAAGATAATGCAATAAAGTTCTAATAATGTTCTAAAAAAGATGATTTTCTCTATGTTCCTGTGCTTCTGTCACCACTATTAGAGATAGGCTTTGACATTATTATTTCCGAATGACTGTAAATATGAAACTTGCCTGTCCTATAGTTCTGTCTTCTCTGTTGACAAGTTATTTTGACACAAAGTATGACCATATCAAATTAAAAAGTGTAATCAGTGGCTTCTGTGTTTTCCTTCTGAAGATTTTCATTATGCTCAGGATTGATCGAGGGTTTCTTCAGAATGTAGAACCTTCCTAGGACTATTTTTACTCATCTGTTGCTTTCTTTAAATAACTATTAGTTGTATATGCAATGTACTCATAATCGCGTTGTATGTTGGAGCGTTTTCCTACCACTTTGTTTCAGGCAGAAGTATTGTGGCTAAGGCCATCAAGACTGCCTATTGGAGCTCTCCTGCTATCACAGTTCAGTAGCCAATTTGATCTGGTATCATCCTTCAGTGGTTTTTTTATTGATGGCCGTTAAGGAGAAAAAACGGTCATCTGGTTCTCCACAATACTAAAGAGGTTATTTTTGTTGCCTCAAAAGAGCTTTGTAATGGCACACAGAGTTCAAGAATTTGTGCAGAATGTCTGCATTCAAGATGTTTGTCACTTGTGTGTCAGACACAGCTCTGGCTTGTACTGAAGAGTCTTAGTGATGTGCAGAACATTGTAGCCCACATTCAGAAATGATGCCTGTTGCCTTGCTCTGCATTTTCCTTGTCCAGACAACTGCTACAGCAGGAGCAGTGCTTGGGGAACTGGATATCCTTCCCCAGTCTTATGTGTCCCACAGAGAAAGGGTGCCTGCAGGTAGTGCAGCTGCCTCCTCACAGATCTGGTCCCAGACTTCTTGTGAAAATGTTTTACTAGCATGAAAAGGAATTTCTCTGCAGGTGCACATGAGCAGAGAGGCACAGCCTGCAGGCATGACATGTACTGTTCAGTTAAAGAAAGTACCTTGACTGAGTAACTGCAGTTTTCCGTTCTTGTGCTGATGAGGGATCACTCCTGAGTCATGTACCTGTCAGCAGGTGTCTAGCTCATGTTTAGCCCTGTTCTTTCAAAATTACAAGCAGTAGTAGGAACATGTGGTGCTGTCCAGTATTACACTGAGGAATAGACTAAGAATTTATGGGTGATCTCAGCAAGCTGGGCATAGTTCAGGTGGCAGGCTGCAGTGCAGTTTTGCCATCTTTAGTACAGATGTCACTTGCACACTTCTGGATTTCAGAGCACAAAGGTGATGGTGTGGGTATGTGCTGACTCAAACCTTTATGTTCAGTGTTAACTTTTATCTGCATTTTCAGACTTGGGTATTAATTAATAGACCATGTCTAATTTTTTTTAGGTAGGTATGACCAGGAAGCAGATAAATGCTTTCTGAGATCTGTAAGGTGGCCAGTCATGCAGCATCAGGGTAGGGTGCTTTATAGTAGTTCAGGTAGCTGAGCTGTCATCCTACCAAGAAGTGACTGACATAAACATCCACCTCCTGGACACAGGAAACCGAGAGAACTCACACAGCATGTGTTCATTGGCCCTGTTATTACTAAGTTTTGGTTTAAGCCATGCCATCAAACCAGTGAATAGGGTCTGAAATCATGCTCTGTGTTTGGAGTAGTCCCTAATAAGTGGCAGCTTATAAAATGCACGTGAGCTGTTCTGACATAATTGAATGCTGTCTTCAAGTAAATGCCCTCTAGCAACCTCAAGCCTCTGGATAACAACGGAACAGCGACGAAAGGCAGAAGAAGAATGTGACTTCAGTCGTCTCTATCTTTTGTTGTTCATAGCCAGAGAAATGCTTCCTTGGAGGTGGTGACCTGCTCCTGTATTTTGGCTTTCCCTGGTAGGTGGCAGTATTACCCTTTTAACAGTGAAGAATTTCTTCAGTACCATGAATTCCTTTGGACAGTTCCTTAAGGATAGCTGGCCTACCAGTGGGTTGGTGTCATACCTGACTCTGGGACAGTGTTGAGGTGTTTGGGTTTTTTAAACAAGCTGTTGAACCACAATCGTGCCCTTTTTCTGCATTGTGTTGAGACTATAAACTTGCAATGATATTACGGAGGTTTTGCTCTGTGATGATCGACTGGGGTTTGGGAGCTGGTTTGGGGGGTTTTATGCTTTATCTTTCAAGGATTGTTAGCAGTCTGACTTGAAATAGGAATGAATAACAGGGTCTTGAAGAAAGTGGTTTTGGAGTCTGGAGGAGCTTGTCAAATCCATCTGGTCAGAGCAGGGCCTTGATTACGCCAAGCTAATGCTACTTTCACACCAGCATTCAAAGTTAATTCAGCATTTTTCTTTTGAAAAAGGGGAAGGGTAGATGAGGCTGAAGAACAACAGCTTCCACATAAATAATTACCATGGAGACAAAGTGGCTTATTTGGATCTGGAGCATCAGAGAGTCTCAGAGATCTGACTGGAAGCAATTCCTCTGTATGTAAGTTGGGATTTCACTGTATGCAAGGAGGATTTCACTTTTCCTGAGGTATCATAAAGAGGGTCAAGAAAGAGATAGGATGAAATTTGACTTCTTGTCCTGTTTGCTGAGACTGGGCCTAGTTACTTCTATGCTAAAATTATTGTCTAATTGAGAAAGAGCAGAAAAATAAGCATTATAGTTCTTTTTTCTAGCCAGAAATCATGACAAAGTGGTTCAAAGGAGGACGTGAATAACCTTTGTGATCTGTGCCTTACTGCTGCTTTGTGTTGTGGTTGGAGACTGGCCTAATTGGAGAAGCCTGTTGGGATGGATTCCTCTCTGAAGGCAGAGGAGGCATCTGCTGCTGAGATGTGGAAACCAATCCCTAATGCATTAACGAGCTCATGGTTGAGGAATGGATCTGAGCTGTGAACAGCAGCACTTGAGGCCCAAGGACATGCTCTCTTGTGCTGATTCTGCTCCGAGGTAAGGCTCTGGCAGAGGAATGAAGGTGATAACATTCACACTGCGAGAGCTAGGCCTGTAGAAACTCATCTGTGGATCTGAGAGCAGCTCTTTTAAGCTGCTTCAGCTTGTGTTTGCTGCAGCACCCTCCTAAGCAACCCTGTCTGCCTGAGGTGGCTGAGCTCTGTGCAGCACTCCACCAACAGGGTATTTATGTTTGATCTTGTCTAAACACTGTTATGTATAGCTACACCTTTAGGGGATGAAAGTCTGGCATAGTTACACAATATAGGCTTGCCTTATGTTGGTGGAGCTAGAGCAGCTCCTTGAACCAGAATGATGTGTAGGAAGAGCTGTGGCAGCTCGGTTGTGCAGGGGCAGCGAGCCTGAGCATCAGCACCATTTCTGTTGACAAAAATATACTTCCTTTACCAGGACTGCAGGATTCCTTCAGGGAGATTTCCCTCCGCTTAGCAAGCACCTAGAGGTACTTATTATCAGTGGTGTTTACCCTGTAGGAATGCTGTCATGCGTAAACCTGGTTGTTGATCACGGGTCATGTTAGGACAGCTTGCTGCTGCTAGGTTGATGTGGCTGGTTTCTGCTATCTTCTCAAAACCTTTGACTGATTCAGGGGTTTTTTGATAGAAAGTGCACCTCCTTAAATAAGAAGTTTTGCCAACAACATCATCAGGAACAGGCACAAAGAGGTATTAGCATGTGCAAGAATTTTCAGGAAGGCAGCTGAAAGAAGGAGTGTATAAATCACACTCTGCCATATTAGAAGCAGAACTTCCTTGATCCATGCCCCATTTTTGTAAGTACATTAATGTGTTCTGGAAGCTCCAGAGCTTCCATGAACCAGAGTCTTTTCTCCTGTTCCAGGTGTGTGAATAATCTGTGGAATCATGATCCCAGTCCTGCAGTGTGGTCAGTCTGCGTGGATAAAATCAGGGATCAAATCACTAAATTATAAGTTCCTCATGCCTCTCATCAGAAAGGGGTTCACACTTAATAAAACTGCCTTGCCTGAGGATGCAGTCTGTAAAGTTGACCACCTTGCCATGCCTCATTCAACATTACTGCTTTCCCTTACGTGTTTTCTGATTAAAAGGACCTGTATTGGAAACATCTCTACTTGTATCTTAATTATAAAAGTGACTCTGAAGAGTCTTCCATACACATCTGTGTTTGTTTAACTACTGCTACTGCCTGGTCAAGGAAAATCCATGATGTTAGCCATGAAAGTAATGCTTCCTTTCTTGGAGAGCTCTAAGAGGAGAAAAGAATTTGATTATACTTAAACCTATTTTGAATTGGTGACATTTTCAATAATTGCAGCAGTTTTTAACAGATGCTTTTTTTTTTTTACTGAGGCTGTACTTAATCCTTTATTCTGCATTCACTTGTGTTTTGTACTAGTTCACTGTAAGCAGTGAAACACTGTTGGCAGAACACAGCTTTGGTTGCAGTGTACCTACATTGAGGAGGGATGTTAAACACTGTTCTCCATGGAATGCTGACATTCCGTGTGTTTTTGGTTCCATGTGGTTTTGATTCATTTGTTCAGAAATAGCCTGCCCTGTTTGTAGTCTTTAAAATACTCTGCATAAATGCAGCTCTGAATGCAGAAAACGAGACTCGTTAGTTGGGAAATTATGTAGGCAGCCATGGGAATTGCAGGTATCCAGTGACCCCGCTGGGATCGGTTTGTGTCTGGCTTCGTGCACTGTAGAAGCTCAGAACTGGGCCCGTGGTCTGTGCTCTCGGACACATGTGGACCCTTCCTCGTAGTGCCGGCGGTTGCGCTGGAACGCCGGAGCCGGGATCTCCAGAAGCAGCAGCCACCATGCGCTGGAGCCTCGACACCTCCATCCTTTGGGCACCTCCGACGGCGGCAGCCCGGGGCTAGCGTGGAGCAAGGTTGGAGGTCAGCTGCTGCTCGGGTCAGCTCGGGCAGAATCGCGCTGCCACCGGTACCCCCGGAGCGCTCCCGGTGCTACCGCGTTCCCGCACAGCGGGAGGGGGCGGGCGGGGCTCTTCCTTCCCCGACGTGAGCCGAGCCAAGCCCCGCCCCTCCGGGCGTGCCGCGGTGACGTCAGTGACCCACTCCGCCGCAGCGCCCTCGCAGGCCGCGCCGCCACAGGAGCCGCTCGCCGGCCCCGCCGCCCTGGCCGCCATGCCGTCGGACCGGCCCTTCAAGCAGCGCCGCACCTTCGGTGAGCCGGGCTGGGGGGAGGCTGGGGAGTCCCCGTGGGGCCGGGGGCTTGGCCTCCGCCGGGCTCCGCGGAAAGGGGCGGGCGGTGCCGGGGCCGCCGCGCGGTGATGTCATCCCTGCCGCTGGTCTTCGGGGGGCGGGCGTGGGAGCTGGCGGAAGGGCCGGGGGGGTGTCGAGACCCCCAAATGTACCGAGCCCCTAGCGCGGGCAGCGCTGAGCCCTGCCGGGGTTACTGGGTACTGGAGCCCAGGTTCGGTCGCTCCCCCTCGATAAGCTCCGTTTTTGCAAAGCACAGGATAACAAAACGGGCCAGATGAGCACGGGGGGGGGGCTGCTGGAGAACCCGAGTGTGGTTGCTGAGCTGTCACCCTCCTGTGTCTTGTCTTGTGTATGCATCCACCCGAGCAACTGGGGCGACTGGGGTGGGGTGTCGGCTACAAGGAGCTCTGAAGTCTGCAGGGCGAGGGTAGGAGTCAGGAGGTACATATTTTTAGATCTAGGTGGTATTTAAGGCCACTTCCAGCCCAAACCTTCTGCGATTCTTGTTTCACTCCTGCCCTAGGTCCAGTCTTTACACTTTGGACTGTCAGAGCATGATGACCTCTTCAAAAATTACCTTCCCCCCCCATCTCCTTAAGCTTAGAGTAGTTACTGTTTCAAGAATTTGATACACCCTCTCTAGTTGTTCTTGACGCCGAAAGAATTAATGCTCCCGTCACACCCATCCCTTTGTTAAAGTGCATGGTGGGGAAACTCAAAATGAAAACTCAAACCGACAAGACGGTGACTACATAAGTTCCTAGATTGGACTGCCAGATCCAATAATGAAATCAGATGAAACATCAACTGCTGTTTTGCCTGACCTTTGCCAGCTGGCATTGGGAAAGGTCCATGTTTCTGGCAAGTTACATCCCAAGGGGGCTATTGGTTGAGCTTTACTGCCTGAATAATGCTGAAATCGGTGTATTCATGCCAGATAAGACCTTGATTTGTGTCAGATGCTGTCCAAAGGCAGGTGAGGGTGTGCTTCCTATGTTAGCTTTAAAACTGGAGCTTTTTTCCTGCTGATCCAACCCCTCATTGCTCTCTTGGAAACTGTAAATATTTGGTAATTTATTGGCACAACCTTCCAGGCCTTGGATGCTTACACAGCCTTCTCCTGCCACAGCGACTGAGCCAAGGGAATGTGCACAAACAAGGGAAGTCTGGGTACCCTGGGACGCTTGTTTGGACCCTGCTTTGTTCTCTTGAGCTATGTATTAAAAGAACTAGAGTCCTAGTAAGTAGTTAGTGACCCTTAGTAACTATCTGCTGTTAAACTGGTGAGAATCAACTTACTGTGGTCAGGAGGAACCTGGTTTGTCTTTGCAGGCTGCTCTGGCTTCATATGAGCCAGAAGGAAAACAAAATCCGAGGCTCCGAGTAGTTGAAAGAAAGCAGGATTAAAATAGCCTGGGAGGGAAGGAGGGGGTGAGGGAGTTTGGTGCCGGCAACTGCAAGTGCTCCTTGTTTCTGTGTACTTTCCTCTGCCCTTTTGCTCTCTCAGCTGACTGGTCTGCAGAGCTCAGCCAGGAGGAGGGGGAGGAGGAGGAGGCCTGGCAGCCCACACTTGCTTTGGGTCAGGGCTGGAGTTGCTCAGTTGGAGAAAGTAAATACAGCTTGTTTTTGTCTTCAAATCATTACACAACAGGAGCAGGAAGTGATTGTTTACGATGCAGTTGGAGAGGGCTGATGGAAAACAGCAGCAGTGACGCTGTACCCTCAGCAGGGCTTGATTTTTAAGGCTTCAAAACTTTACAGAAGTGGAGTGGTTCTAAAAACAACCAGACAAAAGGCAGAGTCAGCAATGTGGCTGTTTACAAAACGCACCCAGGCTCCAGGTTCACAGCAAGAGGCTTGCTTAGGTCTTGTTCTGCCACCCCATGCTTAAGATTTTACTTTCCTCAGTGCATGTTTTCCCCCATTTTGTATTTTTGGGGTTTCTTTTCCCATTTTCTCCTTCTGCTTGTTCATCTGCTTTGCCTTGGGTATATCCTGAATAAAATTCATCATTGAGGATGTGAAAAAGGGACTGGCTGGGAAACACCAGGGCTTTGAGCCAGAGTTGACCTCTCCTGTGATTTGGACTGCTGTTAGTGGTGACAGGGTGATGCTCTGTGACCTGGTTCTGTCTTTGGCATGTCTCTGGCAGAGCATGTTTGGTCTGGGTACATGGGGGTAAAATCTAACAGTAACCCTCTGCATTCATGTGGTGAGCCTGGCTATAGCCACTGAGGTGGCTGTCTTCTGTGTAGTCAGATCCTTCATAGGAGCCCAGAACAATTCCCAGAACAAAGCTGTGGTTTGTGTCAGAGGAACAGGGTGTCCTGGCTGCAGCGATCATGCAGCAGCCTGACAACACCATTGTGCTTCCTGTAAAGACATGAGTCCTCAGGAGTGTTGGGCAGTGCTCACACCTCCCACTGCTCTTGAAGGGATTGTTTTGAATTGGCTGTTCCCTGTTGCAAGGCTGACAAGAGGCTTCAAGCTTTCTTTTCAGCACAGTGCTCAGCCAGTGTGACAGCCATAGACCTTAAACCTAGACCAGTCGGCTCACTGAGTGCCAGCTGGCCTCGTGCCCCAGCATCCTGCTGAAATGGAGGCACTTGCAGTGAGACACATACGCTGTGTCCTGTTGGGCAGCTGGAGCCCTTGGCTAGGTGACAAACTTAGAGGTTTAACCTTAGCCTCTCTGGGCTGAGTATTCTCATCCCAGGCTCAGCACTCTGGGAGATCTGCCTTTAGTTCTGGGAAGCCACCTCTCTGTAGAGGAAAGGCAGCAGTAGATGATGGCAGTGTGTGGAGCTGAATTCTCCTCTTGGCTTTGGGGAAGAGTGTTGCCTTCTCTGGGAACGCACCTTAGCGTAAGCTATGTTTATGAGTTGAAAGACCAGCAGTGGATGAGTTGTCACGTCTCACACACCATCCTGTGCTTGTCATAACAGCTTTGCTTGTTGGTGGCTTGGAAAAGTGTCCTCATGTGAGGTTGGTTAATCAGTCAGTTTGTCCTCAGACTGTGCTTGCAGCAGTCATGCTCTAGCAGTCGTGCTTTAGGAGCTGGGCTTCCTTGAAGTGAGGCTGCTGCTGCAAGTTGATGCTTAGCTGCCTGTCTTGTATTAATTACTGAGAACATTCTGTGACGTGTTTTGATGTGTGGTTAATTATCAGTGTTGAAGAAAATGCTGGTATGAGAAAAACTGAACAAACATCCAGAGCTAATGCCAGCTAGACATGGAGACCACAGATACTGGGGATTTTAATTATTATTCTTTTATATAACAAAACTGACTGGCAGCCAGGATAATAAAACCTGCGTGTCCTTTGCTTTTACTTAATTCTTTCTTCACTACAAGAACTTCAGATGTCCCCTTGAGCCAGGAAGGTGGAGACTGATGAATCTGGAGTCTTGCTGCTGTCATCAGGTAGCCATGAACCACAGACAAGTCACCTCCATTGGCTTCTGTGTTCCTTCCTTGGCAAGACCCAGAGTCCCCTGGAAGATGTCACCCTCTTGGGTGACGTTCTGTGGTTGACTTGCAGTGCATAAAGACTCTTGACTCTGGTCCTGCAGTCGTTTGTTGCCTTTTGTCTTCAGAAGGCACTTTGGAAATAGGCTGTGAGAGACAATAAAGGAGTAAGTTCAAGACTCTTGTGTCTGGCACATCTCTCCAAATAGACTCTGCAAATCTGTGCATGTCCAGGCCTGTTTGTGCACAAATAGCAATGTCCTGGGCTGTGCGAGCTCTCTTTGTGCATGCACATGTGTTCTGCATTAAAACACAGTTCTGTCAGGAGTGCCACTTCTTTGAGCAATGTGAAGTGTTGTGAGTAGTTCTGAGAAATTTGAGTGCACCCCTCCTGTCTTAGAGGCTTATAATTGCAAAAGGTTGTCAAGACAGAAGAAAAGGTCAACCAAAAGCTAGAGGGAAGCCCTGAGGACAATCTCTAGAGGCTCATGCAGAGGGAACTTGCTGTTCTTTTTCCAAGGCTAGTGAACTGTGATTAAACACTGAGCAAAATAAACCCATTCCTTATCTGGAACTCTGATGTAAGTACTCAGTATGCCATCCAAACATGGCACAGAAAATACTGCCCATTTGCCTCCCATGCTTGGGAGGTGTAGTGAGTTGAAAGCCCTGTTTAAAGCTGTTAGAATGCTGGAGGCCCACTGCTCATCCTGCATGGCCCCTGGCAGGGGTGACATGGAACTGTGCATCCAGAGAGCACGTGTCTTAACATGAATTTAGACTTCATGGTTGTTGTGCAGGTCTGCTTGGTCACGAGCTGAGCCCTTATCATGGATTTGCTGGGTACAAATACTCCTTCCTGGAGTCAGGTTCAATTATATTCAGATATATTTTGAAACTGAAAAAAAAAAAAAGGTGGTTCCTGTTTGTCTTTTAAAATCCATTGTCAAGCAGCCAGGAAGATTGGGATACACAAATAACCAGAGTGCTGAGATCCCTCTGCACTCTCAGGGCTCTAGGAGCTGGGTATTCAGAAATCCTGCCAGACATGAAACATCTTGTAATGAAGTTGTAACAACAAAAGGGATAGTCCTGCGGACCTCATTAGTTGCTCCATGTTCATGTTCATACCTTCCTGTGACAGCAGAGCACCAGACTCTATCTTACACCACGTTGCAGAGACACACTTTGTATCAGACACCAAGTTCAAACCAGTGCAGTTTTGGTCCCAGGTCATTCATCCTGTCCAGAGCCCTCTCTTCTTTGCAGACAGAAGAACTAAAATACAACCAGTGATCAGAATCACAGTCAGGTTTCTGCACTGCTGCTGGCCTATGTAGCCTGAGACAACAGCCTTGTCTTAGCAGCAAGGACAGCCTTCACAGGATACAGCAGGCCTCCCGAGCTCTGCCCTCCTTTCCTGGATGTGGAGTCTCCTCTTTTTCCTCCTGCAGTGCCCCAGGCCTGCGAACCAGCCCTCCAGCACTGGGCAAGGACAGGTCAGGTCAGCTGTGGTGTGAGCCATGGACACATACACAGGGTGCACTTCCTGGTGGTGAGAGGTGTCGGCCTTAGGGTGGTGTGACACCACAAAAATATTTATGGATGTGCATCTGGAATTACTTGCATAACTTCCCCGTGCCTTTAGCAGTTGCCAGCTCATCCCAGACATGCCCTGATTTCAAACCATCCAGTTCCTCCTCACAGAAACTCCTGGAGAGAGGACCAGGTTCCAGCAGCCCTCTGCCCTGGGACAGACCACAGCAGCTTCTTGAAGAACCATGTTCATTTTTGCGTCTGCTTCAGATCTGAGGTGGATCCACCCCTAAGCTGGCTGCCAGTGTCTTGTGGAGGGCAGTGAGAAAGCAAGAGGGCTGGCAGCCTACTGCCAGTGGCAGGGATATCTGCACACTCCCTTCATGCCATGGAGGGCTGGACCAGGAGTCGTGGGATGTGGGACCACAGGGAGAGGCAGTAGCTGACTTGGTGAATTTCTGCTCTTTGCTTTCCACACACAGCTCTAGCTCAACTCAGGAGCTGTTGACCCGGTAGTACACTGATGACGTTTCCAGGTGGTGTTTTTTGTTCATGGTGTTTTCTTAACAGTATTCCTTTTGGTCACAGGCAACAGGGCTAGTTGTAGAGTCCGTCTGCTGCCCCAGGGCAGTACCAATGTTTGTCCAGTGTCACCTGAAAAATGCTATCCATCACACAACTGCATTGCTGGAGAACTTGCCATGTGTTTTCCTTCTGTTCCACCATCTGTACTTTTTGTCTGATTAAACTGCTTTGCATCCAGGGCTGTCCTTGTGTCCTGTGTCTGCACAGCACCCAGCACAGCACTCTCCCATAGCACGCGTTACTAGACACTGCTGATAAAATGGTTCATGTTTGGAAAGTCTGGCTTAAAATTTTCTGCTGTTCTTCACTGCCATAACCAGCCCATCCCTCATTGCCATGGGATACACGGTGTGCCCACGTCTTTGGGAGAACAGCTTGGGAAGGACCTCAGTTAAGAAAAACAGCTGAGATTCTGGTGTTTTGGGCAATTTGCAAGCTTTGCTGTGGGTACTTAACAGTTGAAACAGCAGTTGGAGGAGAAACAGGCAATTTCTGTGGCATATGTAATGCTACAAAAATACTCCTGTCTTTCAAAGGCCCCAGCAGCAAATTTTTGCTAGGAATAACTAACGGAAAGGGTGTGGTTTTTATCTTGCTGCCATCTTGAGCTTTCACATCCCGGCATGGGGAGAAGCCCAGCTTCCCTCGCAGCAGATGTGGAGCAGGCACGGTGCTGTTCCCTCTGTGTGCAGGTCAGGAATCTTGCCTCAGCTCCTCTGTCCCATCCTGCTTGGAGGCCCTGAGCTGCTGCAATCAGGTGCTTAGCAAGGAAGGGCCAAAGAAAAAAATGCAGATAAGGACTGGGTTGTACAAACAGTTGTGGGTCCCTTCAGGGCTTAGGATTGACTGTGGCCAGGTGCTACAGGAAAGGGGAAAGTCTTAACCTCAAATAGCACAGTTGTAATGTGGGAGCAACCTGCCTGCAGTGCTGTACGTGGCATGAGCCTGGGTGCCAGGCTGGCATCTCCACCATGTCTTTCTTGAGACCCCTTTAATGGTTTTCTCTTTATTCCTATGACTTAGGCTACAGATACACGAAATTAAAGGTGGCATTTATAGCCATTCTTTGCTACTTGATGTTGAAGATGCTGACATGAGACAAAGGATCAACCTCTAGCTCCCACTCCCAGCTGAGGAGGTTGTGGGTGACCATCACCTGCTTCTTGCAGGAGATCTCTAGCACCTGAACTGTGGTGTGCATGGGAATTACCCTTGTGCAGTGTTTGAGGCAGGACAGATTCTCTTGATTCCCAAGCCTGTCTGGTTGGACCTCAAACCAAAGGTTGGAGGATGGGACTGAGTGCACTCCTTAGCAGAACTTCCAATGGCCTGGAAACTTCTGCCTGGATCTTGGGGTATCTGAACAGCTTAGGTGGGGTTGATGCCAGCTGCCTTCAAGAATGAAGTTTCTGAAATAGGCATCCCCTGGGCAGAGGAAGAAGAGCTTAGGTGCTTGTAGCTGCAATCACAAGTACCTGCTGAAGGGATCCTGCAGCCCTTTGAGTAAAGCAGCACCAGCTGTCATTACCTTGTGGTAACCTGCAGATCAGCCCCTTCACACAGGGAGGGCAAAAACTCTGCACACATCTGACCTGAGGGACCAGGTCCTGGGCACATGGCAGGTCTTAAAGAGTGGGTCAGGGGACCGTATGTCAGACTTGAGGCTGGTTGAGAGCTTTGTCACTCGTGGCTGCTGCCCTTGATTCCTGCTGAGCACAGAGGCAGCGAGACCTGGAAGAAACCCTTGAGCTGGAGTTGGTGGTGCTTCCAGGGAGCAAGGTGGGGTATCAGGCTGCCTTCTGGTGCATGCAGCTGAGACCACTTGGGTGCTCTGAGGTTATGTATATCACTAGCCATCGTAACATGCAAAGGCTGGCAACTTATCTTCAGCAAATTGCTTCTCAGACCTTTCTCATGCACAGAAAGTTCTGTGACCCTACAGGGAAATGCATGATGTCTGGGGAGCTCATCCACATGGCCATCTTACCAGATAGCCAGAGGCCAGGTGGCCATCTTACCAGATATGCCACAGGATAGGGTGGATACTGAAGCATGGACTCTCCAGCCATGAGGACACAGCTTTCTGCAGGCTCTGTTAATACCCAGCAAGCCTGAGCCTAAAGAGCTTATGCTGGTAAGGGTTGTCTGCTCGTGCTCTGGATCTCCAGCCTTTCAGATGCTGTCCTATGCATTGGTTGCTTGTGTGCTTGATGCTTTCTGTCACTCTGTCCTTCAGCCATTGCTGTACCAGTGTCACATGCAATGCTGATTGCTGCCTAACTCCTTGCTGATTTTGGACCTCAGGGGAAAACGGCCTGGACAAGGATAAATCTGGGTGCTCTGGAGCACTGGATATGGTGAAAAGGAAACATGGGGAACTGCATCTTCAGTCACAAAACCCCAAACAAAAATGCCTGAATTTTCCATCAAATCCAAATAATCTTGCTTTGTCTTGCTAGCCCATGGAGTCCTACAGTAGAAAAGTTTGGCAATTCCTAGCAGAAAAAAGATAATTAAGTACTTAAAAGCCTCTGTGATCCAGTGACTTTATAGTTGTGTCCCAAAAGGACTCCAGTCTGTTCCCAAAGTAGCATCTAACCAATTTCAATTTATAAGAAATAGGATTTTAGCAAATGGTTAGAGAAGAAATGCTTAATGTTTGTGGGGAAAAAACACACTCAAACACATGCACTTATCCTGCCCTATCCTGGTAGGTTGTGAGGAACTGGGGCTGTGTGAAGCAGTTCAGGGGGGTCAGGCTTGAAGAGGGTGCTGTGCCAGTGACAGGAGGATCCCATCACAGATCCTGCAAGACCCAGATCTTGCATTTCTAGGTGGTCCTTAGTTGTTGGCCTTCACCCCTGGCTTTACCTGCTGTGATCCATGAAACTGCTTCCCCAGGGTGCTTCAGATGAGCTGTGAAGCACTTCCCAGGGTAATGGTAATGCAAAGGAGGAGCATAGGTCTGTAGTGTCGCAGGAACAGCACACACAGACATAGCTGGTCCTGGCAGGGTTTTGTCCTCTTTCCTGCTGCTTTGGGTTGTGGTAAGTGGAGGGCCCTCTGATAAAACAATTAGGGGGGCATTTGAATTTCTCCTGTGAGCTCAAAGAGCATACAGGCTTTTAGGTGCTGGCTGTTGTGTGTGTCAGACATGAACTCTGGAGGAAAATGGGTTGGGAAGTGTAAGAGCAACTGCAGGAAAAAAGATCTTTTAGTACCTGGGTCATCTCCTTGCTTAAGTTTTATTTCCTGTTTCCACAACAGGTCTAGAAGTACTTTCTGTCAGGCCAGTAGCTGTTGTAGGTCTGTGATAGTGAAGGAGCCCTCCTTGGCAAGGTGTATCTCTTTTGGACTGAGGCATTGTGCCAGACAGTGCTTGGAAGTGTACAAAGGGCAGAAGGAAATGGCTAAAACCCAGTCCCAGTTAAGAGACTCCGTTCCTCTGGGGAAGCAGCCAGGAGACACAAGGAGCCTGAACTTCCAGAGCTGAGCCCCTAAAGCTGTGCTGCTGCCCAGCACTGAGCTGCATTCACTTAAGGCAGATGTAAGAATACAGTTTTGTTATCCTTATGGGCTCACTTCAGTCATTTGGTTTCCATGTGTGTTGCCCAGTTTTACTGGGCAGGGTAGTATGTCCCTGCCTTGGGAGGTGACTGGGGTGGCAGGAAGCCATTAAGGTCTGATCACTGAAGCTGACATCTCCTGAGCATCTCCCTGCTGCAGACTGGTCAGAAAAGGCCTGATGAGCAGAATGTGCATTTCTTTAGCAGTGTTGCTCTTTGTGTGTGGTTTGCAGGGTGGTTACCCTGGGTTTGCCTGAGCTTGCACAGCCATGTGTTTCTAACTCTGCTTCTTCACTTCTTTCTCTCCAGCGGATCGTTGTAAAGAAGTGCAGCAGATCCGAGAGCAGCATCCCAACAAAATCCCGGTAAGTTGTTCCCACTGTTCTGTGTTAGCCTTTGTTCTCATCACCCCTCTGTGCTGCTGCTGGATTGCCTCCACCAGCCAGCCACAGAGGTTACAAAGACTTGTTCCACAGAATCAATACGGGATGCTCTGTAAGCCTCCCATGCCTGGTGCATGCCAGCTGCATTCTGAGCAATGCAAAGTGCAGCCTTTCTCCTACGCTTCACACCTGCCCTAGAGGCAAGGAGCTGAGCTGATCTCAAATCTCCTTCCAAGCTAATACAGCTTTGTGTGGGTTGGGTTTTGTTTGTTTTCTGTAGTAGCTACTTGGCTTTTCCTGGATAACCTGGTAAGGATTTGTCTGCATCTGCCCAGAGAAAGATGTATGAGATGATCTTTGCTATACTGAAAGCAGAGACCCTGGTGGAGTAATTCACACCACAACCAAATGGTCACACACCTTCCGTACTTTCCCATTATCTGTTATTGACATTTGCTCCATGAAGACTCCATGAATTGACTCCAGTTCTTCCTGTCCATGTCAGACGTAATATGCTGTCTTGTTCTTTGGCTGTGAGTGTGCTTGTGATGTCCTAGCTAAGTATTAATATTTGTTTCTCTTCCTGAGAAGATGAAGAACTTTGTGAAATAATACACTTGGGAATTGCTTGAGTTAGTATTTGCAATATCATATCACATGTGACCAGAAAGTGGGATATGTCCCTAATTCAGCTCCCTTGGCATTGGATTAGAATTGCATACAATCAATATTTAGCCTTCAAGGCTTAATGTCTAAAACTACTCTTGGCACATACTAGTCCATTCCTGTTTTTCTTTTGATTCTAGCACAGTATCTTCTAGCAAAAAGAATTCTTTCTCTTCCTTCTTTTCCATGTGCTGTCAGCTCAGCAGACCTGACCTTTGCAGCACAGTGAATACCAGTATGCCATATCATCTGCACACTTACTGATCACTGCTTTTAACATGGATTTCATGGCATCAGTCTAGATCTGCATTTCTCTGGAGTTGTGGCAGAGCTAATTACAATGCCTTAAGTTCTAGCAATGAAGACAGGCTAGAAATAAGTTGTACATAAACTATACACACATGTATCAAGTGCCTCTACACAAATGTGTATTGGCTGGAAAATGAACAGGAGGAGCCAGAGCTCTGCATCTGCATGCAGAATTTTACCAGCCTGGCTGAACCATGGTGGGAGACTGAGCTGGACTGCTCTTTGTGTTGGGGTCAACCACCACATGCCCTAGGAGAAGGCTTCTGTGTCATCAGGGTCCATCCACTGGTGTGGCTGGCTGGGGAGCTCTGTGTGTGTGTGTGTGTAGGATTAGCCATGGCAGAGAACTGAGCACTCCCAGTAACCTCTTTGTTCAGTGGCCCTGAGGGCTCCAGCTGTGTTTGTGTCACTGGTACCTCTAAAGGCCTGGTCTCAGGTAGACCCTGACATCAAGTTTGATGCCATCTCTTCTCTTTTACATAGCAAAGTTCCTGCGAGCCCACTGTATGCTGCTTTCAGTGCTTGGGCTGAGCAAAGCCTTATGCTGCAATATGGTGCAGGGCATAGCTGTGGGTCTGAGCAGCTCAGTGCAGCAACTTGGCTGTAGGAGGTCTTGGTTCAAGGAGGCACTTGGAATTGGCAAAAGGGTTTGAGCTCACAGCTCAGAGGCAGCTGGGGAGAAGATGGCCCAGGTCACACCCTTACTGCTGCCGTCATCCTGCATCTCCAGTTTCCACTCAGAACCCTTTCTGCTGTGACAGAGGGCCAGGGTGATTTGCAGTGTGCATGGCCTGGCTTTGTGCCCAGGGAAGGGCATCTCTGTCCTGTCTCCAGAGCAGGCTGAGGAAGGGCTGTGCCACATACACATGTGTTGGGAGAGAGCTGGTGGGACAGCCTTCTCTGGGCTCCTGCGAGGGGCTGTTCTGGGGAGCTGTCAGACCCAGTGTCCAGGGCTGACATGACCAGAGCACCTTTTGGACAGGGTTACTGTCGATATTGCCATTAAAGGACCTTCACCCTGCTCAGCTGGAGGGGGACAGGATGAAACTATTGGTGCTCTCTGTGGTTGTGTGAGCACTCTGCACATCTGTGGTGATCTCTCTGGCTGGCCATGTGTATGTATGTGTTACACACATGCATTTACATGCATGGGCCTACTGGGAATACATTCTGTGCCTTGCTGCTGGTTGAACCTGGGGGCATGGAGCGCTGGCAGCCTTTCCTCTCTTAGGCTGCTAGATCTAGCCCCATTCCCTACCAAAATCATTTTCTACCTCTTCAGACTGGCTCCAGAACAGGGGTTCAGTTTATAAATGCTGCTGAAGCCCCCTCTGCATTGGGATCAGCACTGAAGGCTCTGCCCTGAGCCTTTGCACTGGTGCCCAGCTCGTTATTTCTGCAGAGACCTGTGGTGGGGTCTCACCACACCAAGAGCAGTGTCCCACACAGAATGACCCTTTCGCATGAGGCAGCAGCTTGGAACACGAAGCAGGAGGAGAGGTGGCTTTGTATATAAGCCCTATGGCCACAGGGATGTAATATTAGCATTTGATCATGCATTTCCCTCCAAGCTGGACAAGAACGTTTTGTCCATTGGCCACCTGTTCCCGTAGCTAGTTACCCAAATAGCAGCTCATGTTCTTGGAAACAGAAACTCCTGGAGCTATTTTACATGAGAGGCCCTCTGTCTGCTCAGGACACAAGGCAGCTGCTGCTTTAACAGCCAGGACATCCTTCTTGGCCCATTCTTGGACTAATTGAGAGGCTTTCCTTTGTGGATGGACCTGGCTGGTAATGAGAGATGGCTGCTTCTGTTCCTGCTAGATGCAAGTGAGAAGTGAGGCATAGCCCCACTGTACAGGGCCCTCTCTGCATGGAAGGGTTGCTGCAGAGCTGCCCTTTTGTGCCTCTGTTTCTCAGTGGCCAGAGCAGCATCCATGTATGTGGCTGCTGTGAGTGTCCAGCCCCTTGGGACTGTTCATCCCCTTACAGCCAAAATACTCATATGTCCAAGCAAGACAAATGAAATACAATAGAGTGGTTTTGCTTCTTTGTCTTTACCCTTCTTGTGCAGGGAGGAAGGGATGTTAGCAGGTTGGTGAGGGGCATCCTGATGCATGCTATAATCTGTGGCAGAAAATCATTCTTTCATCAGCTCCCTGTCTCGCACAGGGGCTGAAGGAGCAGTACTTGGCTTTCCCTGGTCTTTTTCTCTGGCGTTCTTGCTCAGTATCAAGAGGAGACGTGTCCAATGTGAGAATACATCGGTGGACTCCTGGGTGCTTTCATCTGCTCCTTGCCTGGCCCTCGGGCTCCTGGGTTCCCTTTGCGTGTGCTTTGTCCGGTTAGTCTCCTCAGAGGCTCTGGGTGCAGAGCTCGCACCCAGGTGCCTCACAGCCCCCCCTAACCCAGCAGCTGACTGCGGTGTAGCTGTGCCCATCCCAGCGCTCCAGGGAGCTCCTCAGGCATTCCCAGCTCACCGGTGGTACCACAGCATCCCAGTCAGTGTCTGGTTTGGCGTTGGTGTGGACAGGCAGCAGGAGTTACGCTGCCGCTGCTGGTAGAGCCTGGTGTGTGTCAACAGATGATTGATTAATGGAAAGGGAAATCGGTGTTCTCAGAGGTTCTCCTGATCCTTTCGGCTCCACAGAGCCATCTTCTGGGGATCCTGGTCCCCGCATGCTGCTCCGTCCCTCATTGTCCGAAGGCATTTGCAGTCTCCCACGTATTTTTGGAAGAGACCTGGGAAGATGATTTGTAGAACTCCTTATAGTGAAAAATAATGTTGAGTCTCAACTCCGAGAGGACAATGAACTGTCTGTCTGTGGAGAAAATAAGTAGGTATTGGAGAGATGTGAGTCAGAGTATCACTGTAATGGAATGGATTGAGCTTTATAATTGATACCATTACTTATTTTAACTGCCTGCCACCTTATTCCTTGGAATAAAAATAGGACATTTCCAAGCTGGTTTAGAATGGCAATTGTAGCTGCCAGCAGACTCCTTAACACAAGAAATTCATTAATCAATCATAGTAGCAGAACTGAACAGAAACCATTGTTTAGCCCTTTCAGAATGTGGTAAGAGCTTTCCCAGGCAAGACCTCCTATAGGGGAGGACAGGCTGGGCTCTCCCCATGGTGGCACTGTGCTGATGTGCCCTGGAAGCTCACCACACAGTTCATCTCTTGTGGAGTCCATGAGTCTGCACACTGGAGTGTTATTGAAGTAAGGAACGGGACTGGCAAAATCCAAAGTGTCCCTTTCTGAAGGAAAGCCTTGGGTGGCTTCACAGTGATTTCTAAAAACTGTAAATATTATAAGCTATTATAACAAATGTTATAAACTAAAACCTCAGAATATTCTTTGGGAATATCCACAGCTCTTCCTGAGCAAGCCGGTTGATGTTGAACAGCAGCAGCCCAGAGCTGTGGTTGAAAAGGGAAGGAAAATGCCTCCATCTGTGCACCATGAGTTCAGTCCTTAGCTTAAGCCAGCAAAACTTACGGTTTTGGTTAGTCTGGAAGTGATGCTAAAATAAACCTCACTCCTCTGCTGTATCTCCTGCATGTCAGGGAGGTAGCTCAATCAATCCACTAATACCAACTGTTTCTCAGGCAGCCAGTGCAATTGGTGTTTTAATTCACTTATCTTGGATGCTTTCCACTGTCTGGCTCAAGCAGAAATGACTTGTTGCTGAAGAGCTGTCTGCAGCCAGCCTGATGGGCACTGCTTGTGTCCTTCTGTTATGTTTCCCTGGGAGGGTGAAGCAAAGTGTGGCCTCACCTCAACTTTCCCGTTTGTGTAGTTTGATTTGTGCTTGACATTGAGGCCAGTGCTTGGGGCGCTGTGAACTGTGGCTGACCCTACCATTGACTATCTCCCCAGGTCATCATCGAACGCTATAAAGGGGAGAAACAGCTGCCAGTGTTGGACAAGACCAAGTTCCTTGTCCCAGACCACGTCAACATGAGTGAATTGGTCAAAATAATCCGGTGAGTGTGGTGGCTGCAGCTGGTGTGCTGTGAACCTGTCCTTGCCCACGGCCCTGAACGCAGGGCGTGGGGTGAGAATGAGGCCGAGGCAGCTGCTGAGGGTTGGACGGGGACATGACAACCACAGCAGCCTTGTGTTGTGGTACAGGCTTTTTGGGGTGGGGGAGAGACAGGTTCTTAGCATCTAGTGAAGGACTGTGACCACTCTCATAGGGAGCTGATGAGGGGGACTTCAATCCCCTTTGTTTATAGAATCATAGAATACTAACATGGTTTGAGTTGGAAAGGACCTTAAGGCTGTCTAGTTCCAGTGCCTCTTCCATGGGCAGGGGTACCTCCATATCCTTATGGAACACACCTGTCTGCTTTGCCCTTGTCAGTAGCACTTGGAGAAAGGGGTTTGAAGAGTCCTGCCTCTGGAGGCCTTGGAGCCCCAGCCAGCTCAGCAGAGCAATGAACACCATGTCCTGAGCCTGTGGAGAAGGTCGCAGCTCTGCAGGCCTGGCCCCATGTGAACAGTATTGCTGGGAGGGAAGCAGAACATGGTGTGGCTTCACTCCAGCCCTTCTGCCCTTGCCCCCACAGGCGTCGCTTGCAGCTGAATCCCACCCAGGCTTTCTTCCTGCTGGTGAACCAGCACAGCATGGTGAGTGTGTCTACCCCCATCTCGGAGATCTACGAGCAAGAGAAGGATGAGGACGGCTTCCTCTACATGGTCTATGCTTCCCAGGAGACCTTTGGCTACTGAAGCCTGCTGAGAGGTGGCATGTGGAGATGGATGAACTGTGGCATAAAGGCCCCTGGCCTTGGAAGACAACACAACCAGAGGCTGGCAAGAGGAGGACTGTGCTGAGTCCCTTTTTCTTCTTCTCTCCCCTTCCCATCGCCCTCTCACCAAAGAGGCTCGTGGCATGTGTTGGACTCACACAACCCTTCACCTCTGTGTAGATCAGTCCCGCTCCCTCCACACACATGCAGCCAAGTGCAGACACTTGTGTGTGCACACGTGCGGCCTCAGCTTCCCATTGCATCCCCTTGGTGTAACCTGCAGCTGCTCTCACTGTGCTCTCTGTGTGTGTGTGTGTGCGTTTGTAGCCTGCTGCCAAGACAGCTCAGCCAGGGATGGAGAGAGGACAGTACACTGTCCCCTTGGCTTCCAGCACAGGGAGAGGAGCCACCTCCCCTCCAAGACACTAATGAAGGGCAGGAGGTCTGCAAAAGCAGCAAAAGATGTTCCCATTGCTCCCCAGTTTTAATTGATTTAATTACACCCATATCAGATTCTTGGTGCTACTGAGTAGATGTAGGCGTCTCTATAGGACTGTGGATAATGTATATCCTTTAGATTTATTTTATTGTTTTCTCGTTTGTGGTTTGGTTTTGGGTTTTTTTTAGGGATAGATTGGAATGGGGATGGGGGGGGATATCTTTCCTGTATTCTGTAGGTAAATAAATCAGGCTTCATTGCACTTTAAAGCATAGTAGATGTCAGAGTGGAACTTACTTTTAATTTATACAGGTTTGCCATATATAGTGCTGCTCCTCTGTTGACAGTTGTACCTAGATTGTCTTTGGGGTTTCGTTTTTAATAAAACTGATTTCCCTTCTCTCTGTCTGCCCATTGCATGCAATTTTTCAGTCTCTGTGTGGCAAAGAGTTCATTCAAGGAATGTACTGATTTATATTTGCTATGTTCCTGTTCCTGTTTCTCATGTATTATACCAAAAAAATGTATATGATAAAATCCCACCCAGTTTAATCTATACAAAGGTATATATATATAAATATATATATAAAATAAACATAAATTCAAGTCATGTCTTGTGGGAATGTTCTGTTCTCATCTTGTTTCTTCATGTTAATGTCCCCAGTATCAGCTAAGAGTGATGAAGACGCAAGTGGATTTGGGGATTTTTTTACCAGCACAACCACACCCGCAGCTTTATTTGATTCTGTGACCTGTGACCAGGAGTGGGTTGAACCACTTCTCCTTCACTCACTGTATGCCTGGGGCAGAAGGGGCACATCCCTGCCTCGCTAACGATCCCTGCATAGACATCCTCCTGACCACACCAATTTAAATGTCACAGAACCTATAAATTGAGGCCAAATGAAATTTATGGTTCAAACTCAGTTAAAGCTCCACTGACATCACCTACAGATCCAGGATGTCACATGGATTCATCACTACTCTGCTGATTCGTGAAGTTTATGGCCAGTGATCCAAAGTGCACATTGACCTAACAAGGGAGGGCTCTCAGCCTCCAGGAGTTCCCTTGGATGGTGTCCAGACCCAAGGGGACAGTCCCCAACAGCAGACCTGCTGCTCTGAGGAGGAGTGACTCCAAATGGCTGCCCAAGGGGCTCCATTTGCACCCTACTTGAATCTAATGGTGCGGTACTCCCTGTTAGCTCAGGATCCAACTTCCTCACCCTTGTACTTGCTGCCCACCACCAGGTGGGAATGATGAGATGCTGTCAGTGGCCAGCAGCCAGGCCACAGCACAGAACGTGGTGATGTGACAACATAGAAAGTGGCATGAGATGGCGCAGTGCAGCAACGTGGCAGTGCTGTGATGGCCCAGTGGGTGACTTCTCTATGAAGCTGAGTGCTGGGAAGACCATCTGCAGTGACTGCAGACACTGCCTCTGGAGTGAGCAGAGTCAGCACAGGGTCATAGACCCTGGACAGCTCTTGGAAGGAGCCATGGAGCACAGCTTCACTGCTGGTGCTTGAAGGGCAGATGCACCGAGTGCACAGGGATGGAGGGGAGAGGTGAGCAGTTCAAACTGAACTAACTACAGGATTCAGTCGAAGCCAAGATCTGGGCAAGTACATGGAAGAAATATTGGGAGGGAACAGCAGCTTCTAACAGGGCATTGTTACAGGCGTCTCTTGAGAAGCTCGCTGGAGACACAGGTGATGCATGCTGCAACTTGAGAATCCTCTGGAGCTTCTCAGGTTGAACAAGACCCTGGCTGCAAATATGCAGAAATCCTGGATCTTCCCAGGAAATAATTCTCTAAGAGGCAGCCATCCCAGAGCTATTTCCCACGGCGCGGCAAGAAAGGACTGTTCCCTATAATAGAGCAGAGCCTGAAAGCAAGGGAGCAGAGTTGCCGGTGTTAGAACAAGGGCCAAATACACCCACTGCTGCTGTCTTGTGACCACATAGCGTCCAGAACACCATCTCGAGAGTTCAGCAGCACCATGCAGAATATGCATAGAGACCCTGGGCAGCTCCGCCAGCCAACACACACAGACCTGACACCCTTGTGCTTCCAATAGTTTCCTCCTAAGTGTTTGCTGGTGCCTCCCTTCATTCAACTGGGGCCACACCGTGTCTAGGCATTTTCTCTGCACTATCAGACTCATTCCCTCCCTTCCAAAGCCCTCATCCACACTTTACATGGAATCTGAACTAGGGAGGTGAGAAGGAGACAGTATTTTTGTCTTGGTTTGCAAGCTTTGCCGCAGGGCTAGTGGAGGGATGGGCCTAGCTCTAGGAAGCCTGGTTTTCACACAGCGTGAATCATAGAATCATAAAATAATTAGGGTTGCAAAGGACGTTTTAAGATCATCCAGTTACAACCCCCTGCCATGGGCAGGGCCACCTCACGCTAGACCATTGTCACCCAAGACTCCGTCCAACCTGGTCTTGAACACTGCCAGGGATGAAGCATTTATCACTTCTTTGGGCAACCCATTCCAGTGCCTCGCCACCCTTACAGCAAAGAATTTCTTCCCTATATCCAATCTAAACTTCCCCTGTTTAAGTTTTAACCCATTACCCCTTGTCCTATCACTACAGTGCCTCATGAAGAGTCCCTCCCCAGCATCCCTATAGGCCCCCTTCAGATACTGGAAGGCTGCTATGAGGTCTCCACGCAGCCTTCTCTTCTCCAGGCTGAACAGCCCCAACTTTCTCAGCTTATCTTCATACAGGAGGTGCTCCAGTCCCCTGATCATCCTCGTGGCCTCCTCTGGACTTGTTCCAACAGTTCCATGTCCTTTTTATGTTGAGGACACCAGAACTGCACACAATACTCCAAGTGAGATCTCATGAGAGCAGAGCAGAGGGTCAGGATCACCTCCTTCGACCTGCTGGTCACGCTCCTTTTGATGCAGCCCAGGATACGGTTGCTTTCTGGGCTGCAAGCGCACACTGAAGCCGGCTCATGTTCAATTTTTTATTGATCAACACCCCCAAGTCCTTCTCCACAGGGCTGCTCTGAATCTCTCCTCTGCCCAACCTGTGCTTTGCACAAGTCCAGGTAGATGATGTCAACTGCTATACCCGAAGATCTGAATTGTCCATTTCCATAGTTCTCTTATTTTTAAAGACACATTGGCATTTTCAGTTCCCAGCCCTTACAGTCCATGGGCAACTCATAAGAGTACTTTCCACACTGCTGTTGTTGAATTCTTATGCAAGATCAGTGGTTTCACAGCCAACCCACTGGTTCTGTGTACGTTCCCAGCTGCGGGTGAGTCAGTCTCTGTGGTGGTGGATGTTCCCTCAGTGGCAGGAAGGTTCCCTGGTTCCCACTTCCAGTCTGGCTGCAGCTTTTAGGTGGGAGTGATGGACTCCAGTTGATTTTTCCTTCATCTTTACTGCTGAGAAAGGTTAGCAATAACAGAAATGGTGCCTCCTCCCAAGGAAAGAAGTTATATTTTGTTTTGTGGACTTTCCCCCAAACACTGATTCCCTGGATTGGAGGAGTGCAGAGCCCCTTCTAGAGGTTTCAGTACCTCAGCTGTGCCTGGTCCTGACTGGCTTTTATCATTTCTGAACCTGTAAAATATACCCAGCCACATCTTTATTTCCTGCTAATAAAATGCATATTTCATAGGGAGACAGTTTTCTTGTTTGTTGAGGTCTTTATTAAATATTCATGAAGGCTAAATAGTGGCTGCAGGACACAGGTACCTAACTGGCTGCAACATAAATCCCTGGTGAACCAGTTTGTAGCACTGTCTGGGTAGTGCAGCAGTCCCAAAATGCACTACATGGTGATGCATTTTTGCTGTGAAAATTGGGTATTGCTTTGGTAAAATAGGAAAGTTTTCAATACCTGATTTCCATACTCCCTGCAAAGCTTTGGTCACTTCATAGCTCTTCGTAGAGTCCATTTCTTCAGCAGGAAGAGTCAAATGTATCTTTTCTGGAGCAGGCAACACCAGATTACGCTGGTGGGTGTGTGTGGTTCATACAGCTGTCGTGCTGCAGCTTTAGGGGCAGTATCTGTGAGACTATTCCTTATCTCTCCTTTTGTCCTCCTGCTAGTATGAGCTGATGAATGATAGCAAGTTTCTCTGGAATTGTAAGGCTTTTAACAGGTCAGTATTTTGAGAAGCATTTCATGTTTCACTAGAAGTATAAACCTACACAGCTTTCATTACTGCCCAGTTGCACGGCATACTCCAAATGCATATCAAGAATCTATCATTTCTTTGGCCAGCTGACAGGCCTTTGTCGATGCAATTAATTCCACTGCTTGGGCAGTCCCATTTCAGCCTGAGTGTGAAGCCTCCACTGCTCCATTCACTGTAGTTATTGAATAACCCATAACAATTGCTGTTCAGATAATACAAAGACCCATTTACATATAGTTCCAGCTTGGGATCTAGAAATGGCACATCTGTTAAATCTCCTCAAGCCTTTTCAGCTTCACAGGTTACTACTATCGTGATATGGAGTTTCTTGCTCCAGTAAAGGGAGTAGAATAACAAACAAGGTTCAGTGTATTACACTGTTTAAGGGTGATGTTTGCCATCATCAGGAGAATCAGCTCATAGTGATGAGCTGTGCTGTGGTGACATTCCCTGTATAAATTGTACCATCACAGGATGTCCAAGCACTTGATTTTTTCACTCCTTTCAAGTAGGACTGCTGCGTCAGCAGTCACACAGATGCAGGAAACACGTCCCTGAGCTAGCACATCTGGCTGACTTGAGTAAATTGCAATTAGATGTTGCTGTTCCAACAGCAACTCAAAGGCTTTGAGTTATCCCCGAGGATGGGGGAGAATGTTTGGATTTTAGTAAGGCTTTTGATACTGTCCCTCAGAGCGTCCTGCTGGGGATCCTTCGTGTCCAACTGTGTCATGAGCAGGTACACGCTGCACTGGATGAAGAACTGGCTGAACCTCTAAACCCCAATGTCCTCAGTGTTTCTGTGGGGGAGCAGCAGCACCTTCTGTCCCGGGATTCCAGCACAGCAACTCCTCCAGGTCTGAGCACATCCCCGGTGCACTGACACTTGCTGCACGGCTCACATGTGCAGCCAAACTGCCCATGTGCCAGGCTGGCTGTGGCGCCATGCTCCAGGATTCCCCTCCAAGCAGACATGAATTCGAACTCCTGGTCTCAGCATGACCATTAATGACAGCACAAGAAATGTGCTCGGTGGCACAGCATCTACCCCCCCAAGAAGTCCTGGTAGAACAGTTTATTAAGCACGTGTGGCAATGCAGGCTGCAAATTGCTCCCTCACACCCTCTGAACAAAATGAGGCTGGGCTGGGCTTCTGCTACCCACAAACTTCAGCTGCCACCACGAGTGAAACAGGGAGAAATGGAGCGTGACAAAGTCCCTGGGTCTCTGAGGTAGCAGAGAAACCCCTGGGTTCACGTCTCAGCAGCACACTAGCTCCTTCCAGACACGCATGGATTCAGTCAGGGCAGGAGCACTGCCCAACGGACTGCCAGCGGCACCCCCCCTTCCCCACAGGCTCGTTGTGAGGTGCACGCAGCCGCCCTCCTGCGCTTCCGCACCTCTGGAGATCCCCAGGCCGCGGCCAGAGCCAGCGCGAGGCAGCCCTGCCAGGGAGCAGGACCTCTGCGGACACCAAACAGCCTCGTCGTGAGGGAAGAGGCGCACGGAGGAACACCTCGTCCCTCCGGCTCTACCCTGGTGCTGCTGCGAGCCCTCCCTGAGGGACGGAGCGCTGGGGCTCCTAGCGCGGGGGTCCGCTCCCTTCTCGACGGGGAAGCGCAACCCCCCTCCGCGCCCCCGCCGGGCGAGGCTCGACAAGAGACCATCCCTCCCCCGGCCCGGCGGAGGAAGCGGTGTTTCAGCGGCCCTTGCCTTCCGCTTCCGCCTGCCCCGCGCAGCCGCCGCCCGCGCCGCTGGGCCGGAGCGTTGGCCGGAGCCCCGCCGCGCTGCCATGGCGCCGAGGCGGCGCCGGGGCCTGGCTGCGGCGGGCTCCCTGCTGTCGCTGCTCTGCGCGCTGCTCCGCGCCGCCGCCGACACCAGCACCGGACGGGTAGGGCTGGAAGCGGGGTCGGGGCCGGGGTTCGGCGGGGGCTGAGAGAGAGAGAGGCGCTGAGCGGCTCGGTGGGGCGGGATGCCGGTGGTGCCGCAGCTGGGACCGGGGTGGGTGGAAGCCGGGAGCCGGGCTGTGCACTGTGGTGGCCCGGGCTGCAAAGCTGGGCGGGCAGCGGCTCCTCGGGTCTCCGCGCCCGGCTCCAGCCCCTTCGCCGCGCCTGGTGCTGCCCGCCGGAAGCCTTCGGGCATCTCCTGCGGGCCCTCCGGGGCGGCCGGGCTGGGTTGTGCGGCCGCAGGCGCCGGCAGTTCCTCTGGCTGCACCTGGGCAGGATGGGGCGGGCAGGTGAAGGCAGCCGGGCCCCTCCGGGTGCTCTTGGGCATCATTCTCCAGAGGGAAAGAGCTTCGTGGCAGTGCGGGCATCGCGGGGTCCTTTTCCCCTGCCCGCTACCGCGTCCGAGTCTGGAGGAGAGGAAAAGGGGATACGCGACGGTGGCCCCGCTCAGAGCCGGTCTGGTTGTTTAGTTTGGGTAGCGTTTTGGGTGGCGTGCTCTGCCCTTGCTGCTCAAGGACAGTGTGTTTTGGTCAGACCAAAGGTCCGAGAGTTCCAGCATACTGTTTGTCAGAGGCCAACGCGAGATGCCAGGGCAGTGGTAGCACGTATCCAGTCTCCAAGCAGTTTTGTATCTTGGCTTCACCTGTGTTGAATACTCTGTATGGCTATTTAGTTGGTGAACTTTAACATACGCAGCCCAGATGCTGTCATACACCTTCATTCTCTGCCTTGGAAACAGGACATTTCTCTGTTCCCAGTGGATTCTATTATCTTGTTGTTGCCACAATGAAATGGGGATTGTTCTCCCTCTTGTGCTCTTCCTGACTTGAGCTGCTTTCCCGCTGCTATGTTAGGTTAAGAGAAGATGTCTCTTCTCTCTCCTTTGTTCTAAGTGTTCAGGCTGCCAATGTGATCCATCAGTGCTTGTGTGTTGGGGGCTGTGTCCTGTGGGTCAGATGGATTGTCCTCATGGTCCATCTCGTAGTAATCCTCATCTAAGAATTGTCTTGGAGGGGTGGAGCACTGGCCAGAAGAAAGAAGCATAGCACTGGGGTGTATGTGAGCAGAGTTATGGTGAAAGGTTTGTGAAAGCAAGCCTTCATTCAGGTTTTATTACACTTCCACTTAAAGGTGATATTCCTCTTTCTTGTAATATCAAAGTGAGAGGGAGGGAAGAGGAGAGGGGAAAAAAAAATCCTAAATTCATGTGTGTCTTTGAAAATGCGTTTTGACAAGTTTGACGTGGTTTTATCTAAGGCTGGGTTTTGGGGGGGAGGCAGGGAAAAGGGACAAAGCTCCTTGAGAAGAGTTGGCTGTTTTCCTGTTCTGACAGTTTGCTGGCTGTCTGCTGTTACAAGAGGAAAAGTCCATCCAAACAGAGTCCCTGCAAGCTTTCTGTGTGTGGGTTGCTTGTTTTGGGGTTGGTTTTTGGTGGTGGTGGTGTGTGGGGTTTTTATGTAAGTAATTCTCCTGTTCTCTGTACAAGGGTAAAGCTGAGGCTGTGTTTGTGGGGATTGCCCAGGCCTGTTAAGCTGTTTGCTTGGAGCGATGGTCCAGAGGCAGCAGTAGGTGGTGGGCAGAGTGTTAGGGGGAGCATGCTGCAGTAGGAAGTGAGATGTCACCTTGCCATCTTGTGATGCAAGGTGACAGGGTGCATAAGAAGCCTTTGGAACAAGGACCGAGCATCTTGGGCATTTCTGTTGCCCCAAAGACTTAAGTCTGCCCCAGTTACTCATGAGGAATGATGCCATTTTAACTGGCAGGTCTGCACTGTCTGCCAGGACAGCTGATGTTAAGCTGGGTCTTCAGCCCTTCCTGGGGATCAGATGATATTACCAAACCCAGCCATAAAAAAAGAGAGGTAGTTGAATTTTTTTGGGCTAGTTCATCACTTTTTTATTTGAGGAGATGTTCTGATCTGTTAAGTTGAAAACTTTCCATGGCATCTTACCATCTGTTTCTTTCTTTTTCAGGGCTGGTTAAAAACTTACGGCTACTTACTTCCATCTGACAGCCAAATGTCAGCCTTGCAGTCGGGCAAAGCTGTGCAGTCTGCAGTTGCCACTATGCAACAGTTTTATGGGATTCCAGTAACAGGAGTTTTGGACCAGACAACTATTGAGTAAGATTAACATAGGATAATTTTGTCTTTCCCTTTCTTAACACATTGTTATATTCCCTGGGTAATTATTCCAGCTGTGAGAAGTCCTCAAAAGTGATAGATTTGACTGGCTCAGCAAGAGAAATGTTGATTGTGAAAAGATGTCCCTAGTGAAAACACCTCTTCTCTTTGCCAACGTTACTGTTTGGGACTGTGAGGGGAAGTTCTTGTTAAATGTTGTTCTTTTGTACATAGATGCCCATTGCTGTTGCATAGGCAAAGCATGAATCCTGTGAGCTTCTGAAAACAAAGAACACCAAGTGTTTAATTCATTTTCATCTCTGTCCAGATTTAGGTGCAAATCTGGCTCCAGAAATGGCTTTTAATATATTTCTTAAATAACGGGAGTTGTGGATCTCCATAGGTGCTATTTGTGACGATCTGTAGTCTGAGCTGAAGTGGGTTGTTGTAGTCTGGTGACGATAGTCAAGACTATGTAGCTGTTAATGGTTGTCATTTATTGGACATCAGATGTTCTCTGCTGTATGTTGACCATGTATATTGTTTGTGAGCGATGATTTGATAGCACAGAAGCATTGGTCTGAATCACCAAGGCTGGAGGGACTTTGTCGTTTGAAGGCAGTTGCCTTTAGTCTGCTCTTTGATGTATAATTGTGAAGTGTGGTGTGCATTTGGTGTTCTGGCATGGAGCAGTGTTTGTTGCTGCTACTGCACTGGCTTCTTGTCATCTGATTGCCTGGGTGTTCTGTACTGGTTGAATATGTTGGCTGTTGGTCTGGACTAGGGGAGCATCTGTTGACTAAAGGAGGGAGTTTAGATACGGTCTTACTAAAGCTTTCTGGGGGAAAGAAGCATCTCATAGTGAGCAAAAAGAAGAATATACAAATAATAGAACATGCTTAGCCCTGCCTGAGAGTTTTTCTTTTGCCGTTTTCTTACTGCATTAGCAGACCCTTTTTAGAGTGTGCTCTCTTTACTTCTTCATCTCTCCCATTGTGGCACTCTGATGGCAAAAGGGACATGGTAACAAAAAAGAAGGGTGCACAAAGTAACCTAATAGTGTGAAGAACAAAGGGGTTTGATTTTATGCCTTCCAGACTACAAGAGGGAGAAACAGGATAAATGAGTGAATTAGGCAGAAAAGGATCATCCTGGACTGGGAGTGCCTCTCCAGTGAATGTAATGTTCCCTCTTTTAGATCAGAAGAAAAGCTCCTTTTTCTCCCTTGAGGGATAGAGAAAATCCTGTTGTTTTGCTGTTCAAATGAGTTGAAAATGCGATGCGTTTTAAAGGTGGGGATTTTCCATCTGATATCTCTGCCATCAGTAACATGGTTTGTAAGTGAATGCTCAAGCAGAGCCAGAAGGCAAGGTTGTGTATCTGCAGTTGGTGTGTAGAAGGTAGCAGTCAGGATGCTTATGAGTTGGAAGGGGATGGGGGAAGAAGGGGCTATGATATTGGGGTGCTATTTTGGAAAGTTAGGGACCTGCTTCTGCTACCCTGTGAGTGACAGGGGAAGGGAGCAAACTGCATGTGGGAGCCCCTGCTTTAATAAGTGAAAGTATTCTTCTGGAGGAAAGGAAGGTGTTGCCCATGTTTTAGTGAATTTGTATGTAGGCAGGGGTTGATTGGTGCATGAACACCCAAAGGCTGATAGGAGAAGATAGTTCCCCTCTTCTGAAACTCAAGTCTCCAAAGGCTTGAAACCTCAGGTGCAGCCAGATGCGAGTGTGCTTTGCAGGTGTGATGTTGTTCTTGCCTCCATCTGTCCTGAATCAGTAGGTCTGTGTTTTGCTTGGCAGGGTGGAGCAGGAGCACCTACCTGGAAATTCCATGAAAGGAAAGAAAGGTCCTAATTGCTCTTAGCAGTGAGCTAGTTTGAGTAGGAGGGGCATAGCTGGCTTGGCCTTGTTGGGCTGTCACTTCATCAGACCTGGTAATGGAAGCTGAGCAAAAGGAGAAGAGCTAATGAGGCAGGCTGGCTCTGAGAGCTCTGAATTACTCAGACATTTGCTAAACTCTTATTTCAGTCTCTGTTGTAAGTTTTGGTAATTGCAGTTACAAATTTTTGTCACTTCTGTCAGTGCTGTAAGCGCTACCCCTTGAAAGTCACTTTCGAATCAGAGTGTGAAGTTATTATTTTCTGTGTTTTATGTGTTAAGGAATGGGTTCTGCATGTTCTGTTTACTAAACTAAAGTTCTTCATCTCTTCCCCATGTGCCTCCAAACTTCAAGCTTGTTCTTTCCTCCAAGATGGGTAACCAAGTGTATGAAAGTTACGATGCAGGTGCTGCCAGTGGGAGTGGGAAATGGGAAGGAACATCACCACTGGTGTTCTTTACTGGTACCCAGATGTCAGGCTGCCTTGGAGGAGGTCCATTTGACAGCAAGGCTGCCTTGATGTAGGAGGTTGAGTTACTTAGTTTTCTGTAAGGAGAGTGGATGACAGTGTGTATCGTGGCCTCCTCATACCCTGCAACTGACAGTGCCTCAAGAAACTTTGTGTCTGCCTACAGCTAGTAGGTTGAGTTGTAATTTTGCTTAGCAGCTAGGCAATGATATAGTCCTGTGAGTGTGCTGGGAAAGAAGGCACATTGGCACCTAATGGAAGTGGTTACTGTTGTGTTCATTGTAATCAATCTCATGGCCCTGGAGGGAATCAAGAAATAGTCTTGTGTTGGAAGTGTAATGTGCTTTGTCTTGAGCCTGTTGTGCGGGTCCCTCGCCTCAGAATGCAGGACAGAGAGGAACCACAAGTTGAAGTCTGAATCCTGCTTCAAGTAATTGTGTTGTTGTTTCTGATGTGATGCGTTTTGATAAACACCCTGGAACACAGAAAGGGTTATCCAAACTGCTCAATAGAGAATGGCTCTCAAAAACCTCAGCTAAAGGAGATCAGTGGCAGCAAGCTACAGCTTTGTGATTATTTTGCCATAGATCTGCCCTGCTGAGAAAAGAAGAGATGGCTGGACTTGTACCCTGGCCCATGATTAAACATGGGCCCATGTGTCTGGGAAGTATGTTGAATCAGGGAACTGATCCAGAGAAACATTCTCAGCTTGACAGGGAATACTTGGGAGGATACAAGCTATTGTAAGCCTGACATCTCTCTCTAGCAAAGTGGTAGAAGCAATGCAGAAGAACACAAATAAAGGACACTTGGAAAAACACAGTGTATTGAAGTTGAATTAATATGATTTTTCTAAAAGCAAACCTTAGATGTACCACTTTGCTTTGAAGGTGGCAGCAGTTGTGTGGGCAAGACAGATCTGATTTCTGCAGGTTGCTTAGATTTCTGAAAGACATACTGTACTGATAAATGTAAGCTCCTGTAAGTGGGGAAGATCCATGCCAGCTTCACATACACAGCTTGGGCTCTTGTCAGGTACAGTACAATATGTATAATAGCTGTCATTTGCTCTGTTCTTGGTGGGGAGAAGATGACTGCACTGAGGTTTGTAAGCACCTGTAGTTTTTACGTATAGGAAGTGGACCAAGGAAAGGTCAGCTGAACTGGGAGCGGGTATGTGTGCTGTGAAGGAATGTTCTTGTGAGGCTGTACAAAGCAAAATGTCTCTTTGGTTTTTATTTAAAAGGTGTCCCAGAAAGAAGTCTTGTAAAGCCCTTACTGGTGAAAGGAAGACATCCCCTTCCTGAAGGTGTGAGGCTATTCATTTTGATAGAGATGTACATTGTTTAGGCTCAGACATGTGGACACATATGGACTGCTTGCTGTTGGAGTGCTGTGGTTGATGGAGGAATGTCTTCATTTGAGGGCCAGAAGTTGTTCCCTGAGTGGCCAGGGGTGTGGGGGAGGTCCTCCTGAGGAGAGGGGTGAGAATTCGGTGTCCTGTGTGAGAAATCTGCCAGGGTGGGCTACAGTGCTGTTCTTGTGTGACCAGGCAGCAGCACATTTCCGCATCCCATGCCTGCAGTGTGTTCTTAAGGTGTTGTGTCACAGTGGACACTTGTCTTTGCCATCCAAGTGAGGGGATCAAATGCATAAGATGCCTGAGGAATGGCAGTGACAATGTCCTCAGCAGCAGCCACACAGAAGGCTAAAGGCAGTGCCAGAGAGCTGTGGTCGTAGACTGCTTGTGTTATTCCTGGGCTCTAGTCTTCTGTCCTGGGCTGCATTGCAGAATCCTGAAGAATGTGGCTGGGACAGAAGGTTGCTGTGCTGGAACCTTGGAGATCTGTAGTTTCTCCGTTCCTGTCCCTGTCTCCTTTTTCCCCTGCTGCCACATGCAGTGATGGGCAGATTGGTTCCTCTATAAGCCATTTCTGTCTTCTCTGGAGTGTGCCCACACCAGCAAGTGGGATAGTATTCTGGGGTACAGTCTGTTTCTCCTTGTCAGAAAACCATTCAGGTTGGAAGGGACCTTTTGAGACCATCTGCTCCAATCCCCTGCTCAAACAGAGACAGCTAGAGCAGGTTGCCCAGGACCATGTCTAGTAGGGTTTGGAATACCTCCAAGGATGGAGGTTCTACCAGTTCTCTGGACAGCCTGTGCCAGTGTTTGACACCCTCCAGCTGGTGCAACAAATAAGTAAAAGGCTGTTAAGGCTGGAGGTAAAGGAGGTAGAAGACCTGACATGTCTTATAATAGTGCATGAATCCCTGTGCAAGGGAGAGCATTCTTTGCTCTTCCAGTCTACGTGGCCATAGAGGCAAGAGTTTCCTACATCATGACTGACATCAGAAGAGTTAAGGATTGTGTGGAAAGATCTAACAGAATGTGTGCTGTGGTCAATCTGTTCTGGTTGTTACAGGTGAAAGCCTTAGTCTTGTCTGGGAGGGTCGTGTTAGCGCTTGCTCAATCTTATCTAGTAAGTTATGAATTGAAGGGTTTCTACTGGGGCAGGAACACGTTAACAAATAGAGGATAGAGGAGGTGATAGGTGAGTTTGATCCCAGTGCACACATACATGCAGTTTTAATCTGCGTCTCTTTTGTGGCATTATCATCATTAAGCTCTTATTAAGCATAAAAGCCACCTGATCTGGTATGTGGTTTCCTGATCTGGTTTCCAAAAGGAAAAATTAATTCCTTTTGGTATACTGAGGTGTGTGGGTTGCCAGCAGAGGTGGGGTGTACAGCTCTGTGCAGAGAGGGTGAACCCGAGAGAGGGATGACTGAGCCCTTCCAGTGTCTGCACTGGCCATCCCTCAGAGGTCTTCCAGCCACCCCTGAATTCTTTTGAGTCTCTCTTCCAGGCTTCTTGTTAACTTGCTTTTCTTTCCTTCTTTTCCCTTGCAGGTGGATGAAAAAGCCTCGATGTGGAGTTCCAGATCATCCCCACCTCCGCCGTAGCCGGAGGAAAAAGCGGTATGCGCTAACTGGACAAAAGTGGAGGCAGAAGCATATAACCTACAGGTATAGTCCACTCCCTGACTCTTTGTTTGGGGGAAAAAATGTGCTGTACTACTTTGCTATGCAAACTGTGTGCGTACTTCTAAATCCTGGAGCTTCCCTATAACACCTAGTTGAGGCTTTCATTCTGACAACATGGTGGAGGGGAACACTTTCACAGCACTGGGGTAACTGCAGAGTCTGTTCTCAATTACAAAATAACTGATCAGTAAAGATGCCTAAATCCCAGTCACCCACTGTGTAATTTTGGCAGGAAAATCCTAGCAAGCACCATTCTGTTCCCTTAGCAATCAAAGGATCTAGCTCATAGGTTATGAGTCTTCTTCAACAACCCATTAATGCAGAAGGAACATCATTGTCTAAAGGTGTGATACTTTCTCCCACTAATAATTTGCAACTTATTCCTGAATATATATTTTTTGCAGAGGTTTTATTTTTGCTCCTGTGGTGCAACACTTGCTTTTGTCCAGACTTAGGTCTACTGAGGCAGTATGCTGAAGTGGGCTACAGGTATCGAGTGAGTGTTATATAGTGAGGGTTGTTTCCCAGAAATGTGTTTTGTTTGTCATTTAGACCTTTGGCATTTGAAAGGCAATTGCTGAATGATACCAATGGAAGTTTCTGACAATAAGAATATAACTTAAATAAAATTTCTCCCCCCCCGGTTGAAAGTGTAGCCTTTTTTTTTTTTTTTTTTTTTTTTTTGAGGGGAAGGAGTTTGCAGAAGAGTAAAAATGAGGAGTGTAGACATTAAGGAGAAGATACGGGTGAGCAAGGCTAAGACAGAAAGGAAGTATGTGGTGAAGAGGGAGAAATATGAGTGACCAGCATGGGAAAGGTGCCAGAATGTGGAGGAAGAGATATGGTGGTGTGAAGGGAAAGAGAATCAGGGCTCAGGGCACTCTAATGCTTCTGCCAAGAGCTATGAGCAAGGAGGAAGAGAATTCTTCAAGTGACAGTTGGGGGCTGCAGAGACTGGGAGGAGGGACTTGTTCAAAGCTTCCTCTAATAATCATTCCCTTAAATTGTAAGGGTGGTCCTTTTGTATGTGGAGATCTGAGAGTTAGATCCTGCTTCTAACCTATTCTGGGCCTTAGGCAAAACTGGTGTATAATCATATAAATAAAGCATATCTTCAGCATACGCATTACCTCAGGAAGCAGGTTGGCAGATGGCTTCACTTCTGCCATTGTCAAACTGCTAGTTGTTTAACTTCCCACTCTCAGTATTTGTAGTGTGCCAGTCAAGTGATAGATGTTCTGTTTCACCACTGAATGTATTACCCTGTCTTCATCTGTCAATCATTATAGTAAGTTGAGACAGTTTCATTAAAGACTGAAAGTTGTTTCCATGGCAGATATTTCATGTTCATAGAATCACAGAATGGTTTGGGTTGGAAGGGACCTTAAAGCTCATTCATACACTGGGTTGCATTTTAGCATGATAATTTCAGACAAATTTGAAGTAATTTACATTTTTAAACTAGGTTACTTGGCTGTCTGCACCAGGATTTGAAAGTTTGTCAGGTTTTTAGGAGGCAATGCAAGATCAACCCAAGTATTGGGAAGATTCTAATTAATAAATGTAGACTTCAGATCAGGATTGTTGTTCTGTTGGTAACAAAACTTATTTGTAACAGCAGAACTTTTTGTGCACAAAGCAGTGTCTGTAAAAATAAAGACCCTTTGGAAATGTGTAGATGTGGCTATTTATTGGCGTTATATTAAGTCTGTAATGTATTCTGCAAATTTAAACAGCCCTTCTTTTTCATTCACACAGTGTACACAACTATACCCCCAAAGTTGGAGAGATCGATACAAGGAGAGCCATTCGTCAGGCATTTGATGTGTGGCAGAGAGTGACACCACTTACCTTTGAAGAGGTCCCTTACCATGAAATTAAAAATGACAGAAAGGAGGCAGATATTATGATATTTTTTGCTTCTGGTTTCCATGGAGACAGTTCTCCATTTGATGGAGAAGGTGGATTCCTAGCTCATGCTTACTTTCCTGGACCTGGAATAGGAGGAGATACTCACTTCGATTCAGATGAGCCGTGGACCCTGGGGAATTCTAATCATGATGGTAAGAGTACAGGTCATTTTTCAAAACAAGGATAGATAAGTTGAATGTAGGCACACTGACAGGGATTCAACTAGAAAGTACTTGGGTAGTGCAGCTTTCACCTCCTGTACAATGGTTCAGATGTTTTCTAAAACATGTATTCTATCTTAAATGGGTCAAGAACTTTATTAGTAAGTTTGTGACTCTGCATGCCTCTCTGCACATGTGTGATGTTGAGGAGTGAACAGGAGTGTGTCTCTGCTGGGTTTTTACATCTCTCAAGATATGGACCATAGTTGCTACAGAAACCATGGCTCTGGGAGGCAAAAGGTGAACAAGAGAGTGTAAATGCTGTAGCTCATGGAATAATTAACAGGAGCAATTAGAGTTGGTTGTAATGGTGAATAGAAGGTTAAGAGAGTGAAGACATTTGAATGTCAAGTCCTTTTGATCCATGTTTGTTTCCTTACAGTCCTAGTATGGTCATACTTTGTCCACCAGAGGTTTGGGCTGGCAGGTTTGTTAAGGAAGACTGTTCTTCCTTAATGACAACTGTTCTTACCATATTAAGCAATGAAGAGTTTCTGCATCTTCCTAGCTTTATCTTTCTCTCTAATGGCAATGAGCACTTTCTAGTCTCTTTTCAAACCTTTGGTTGAGGGTAGTGATGACTTGTAAAATTTAAGTTGGGAAGTTTTACAGTGGCCTCATAAACTGTCACTCCAGTTTCTACAGTCTTAATGATCTGGGAAGGATAATGTGGCTTTAAACCTTTAGGAACTCAAAATCACAATTTGAAATGTTTTTTAAGGGTTAGACATTCAGTTGGAATGTAAATCTGGCTTGATTTTTAAACTGTATAAAAACGTAGTTGTGTTGTTGTGGCCATGACATCTAAGGACGTATGCAGAGGTAATGTCTTTGATTAGGCCAGCCGTGTAGTTTGAGGAGAAAAGCTTTCAAGCATGCAAGCCACCTTCAGGCCTGAGCTAAAAGTGACAGCTTGCTTTCAGAAAGGAATGTACATTGAGAAGATCCCTCGGTATCTATCAGAGCATCTTTGAAAGGAAACGGAGCTGTCAAGTTCAATGTGGGAATGCTAATTTGTAGGAAAGCATAAATGTTATATTTGTCTTCTCAGGTTAAGAGAAGTAATGTTTCCTGGCATGTTTAAACGTAGGCAAAGAAAGAGAAAGGTTACAGCCTATGGGATGTGAAGGGGGGGGGAAGTGTGGAGAGCGTGGGAGGTTATGGTGTGGCAGAGAAACAGTGTCTTGCTATCTTGAATGTTAACTAATTTTTATTCCTGGGTTTGTGGCTGGAGGGCAGTTTGCGGGTTTCTCTTGAGGCTCAGAATTGGCAATCAGAGACCAAATGATTACCTTGTGAGAACTGCTTTTGCAGCAGTTGGGTGTGTTTGTGCTGTATCAGTGGTCTGTTGAGTTCAGTCTGGCCTCAGTAGTTAATTGATCTCAACTATGAGATGTGAGGGTGACCTGTGTGCTGGATATGACTTCCCAGGTAAGCTCATGTATGAGACCTGGGAGTGCTGGTATCTGGGATAAAAGCAAGGTCGTTACAGGAAGGTTTTAACAAGTTGCACAAGTTTTTCTCTTCTTTCTTTTTCCACATAAAAAGCTTCCTTCTGATGATTAGCCAGGTTGGGAGGCAGCTTAAAGAATGGTAGGGATGGCTCTGGGGAAAACTTTCTACTGGGTAGAATGTTCTAACATAGATTATTCTACAATTCTATGATTATCACTTTTTTGAGTTATTTTTAATAGTTTTTAGGATGTTGTTTGAGAGCAGATCAGTCTGTTTTTATAAGAGCTACTTCTTATGCAGTATCCATGGGACTCTTTCAAAAACATGATGTACTTCTCTGGTGCGCTGAGTGACTGTCATGAGTACTGTCCTCAAAATGCATGTAATTGGTATTTGCAGGGTTGGTGGGCACTCTGAGTGTGAAAATTGATAGAAGAGTTGAAATTGCCATTTGGGAAGATAAATGTCATTTGTGTATTTTCAAATAACTGAGCTATATAAACTGGGCATCAGAGTTACTGGAAACCTCTTTTAAAAGTCACCAGTGAGGATGTTGAGAATGGTGGGATCATATTTGTTCTGTTCACCTGGGAGAGTGCTGATGATAGGGAATGTCCTGTGTTGAGGATGACAGGATAAGCCTCTAGTCAGAGCATTATAGATGTGCATGTTAAATGCAAGGAATTTGGTTTTGCCTGTGTTCTTAGCCTTGGTATGCAAATGTGAAAATGTCCTGTCTCTTCATTGGATGATCCAGGCCCTTTTAGGAGGGCTTTTCCTTCTGTTTCCCTATTCCTTGTCATCAGAGCTCCTACTAGCTCAAGGTTCTCACCTCCAATGTGTTTTATTTGAAATGCTGTTAGCAGGTCTTAAAGAGTTTCTTCTTGGTCAGAGGTTTCCTGCACTGTGGTCTGTTCACTGCCTTTTTGTCATTGCAATAAGGTATTAGTGAGGACAATGTTGCCTTATTAACAGGAAGTAGCTCTTCAAATCAAGGTTTTGCTTGTCCTTATGACAGATATTTTGGGGCTATGGAGATGTTCAGTCTGGAACTGAAGAAACTGCTGAATGAAAGAATAAAAATATCCTACCAGCAGATCAGTAGCAAAGCTCTCATCTATTCACGTGAAAAAAAGGAACTGTTTTGGCCTTTCAGCATCCATTCAATGATTATAGAAAACTTAAAATAGCCATGAAGTAACACTAGTGTCTTTACATCAACCTGTAAAATATAACCATGTGAAACATTCCATTCCTGATAAGAATGTGTGTCAGTTGAAGGGGAAATACGAATAGTCTGCCTCAAAGCTTTACACCTTGCAACAATTGTAAATGTAAATTTATGGTCAGCAGAACAGGATGCTGAAACTGGCACTGTAAGTTCTCAATATTTGGCCAATCTGTTTAGTCCATAGACTTTCATTACAAACCAGTAAGATCTAAAGCTTTGATTTTGTAGGTCTGCGTTTGTCCTACTGTGTTACTGTAGAATTTCAGTAGGTCCATGTTTGGGTGCAGCTACCACCCCACAGAAGACCTGTTCTGGAGTCTTCACCAGCAGTGCAGTTTATTACATGCATAAAAATGAAAGATACCACATGAAGCCTCCTCCTGTCAGAAAAAAAGGAAGAATGATTTGAACAGATCTTTCTATGAAAACTGATTTGTACATGGAGAATAGGATCTATCTTGTTGATGAAAGCTTCTACCTTGTAAAGATACCTTGTGGTAACCCACTAGGGTTCATTAGCAATTTTATCACACCAGCTACTGGGTAGTTGGGATTTATATATTCATCATTCTGCATGATCATTATTATTACACTGATTTTGCCTCTTGTGGACAGCATGACCATTACCATGTCCCTTAAAATTGTTAGTACAATCATGATAGCTATGATTCTGTTGATTGTCTTTCTGAGACTGTTAGTAGTAGGGGCCGGTGGCACCAACATTTCTGTTATCTTCTGCTGTGAAGAATGAACCTGTGTAGGCTTTCAAAGTGAATGCAAAGTTTCCTTTCCCCTAGATATTAGTTGCAGTTCTACTCATGGATTCAGTTCCTTTAGCCAAGTAATGCTGTGCCTTCAATTCATAATTGTTGATTTATGATCTTAATTGTACTGCATTGTCTGTCATTTCCATAAGCAAGCTGTGGAAGGTTAATTTAGATAATATTTTAATGAGGATGTGCAAAACCAGGTAGGAAGTTGAACTCCTGGAGCAGTCCTTATTAACTGGGATCATGGGATATGGAATTCATTTGTTGAGTTTTTCAAATGAGAATGTCAATGGGAGCAGCTGGAAGCATGAAGCAGAATACTGGAATTTGGAAGGTGGTATGGCAAACAGGATGCCACTAAAAAAGAGTGTGGTTTTACAGCTAGAGGTAAATCATGTATGCAACTGCACACTAAGGCGCTACTGGCATGGTCACAGCTGCAGGTACTTACCTCATGTTTGTTCTGGAAGGAGCTCCTCAACAAAAATAAAAGCAGCTCTCCGCCTTCAGCTTATCCAAGACTTGTAGCAGCGGCTCTGGCTTATTAGGCTTCAATGTATGGGCACTTGGAGACAACTGAAGCCATTTTTGGAGTCACTGTCTTTCAGTGGTACATTGTGTGTACCTGTTTGTGTGTAGCTGCTCGCAGGCCAAGTGGCACAGCGTTTGGTCATGGAGTTACATATCAGTGCAGGCAGTCTCAGTATCCAAATTGCTTGTATTACCAGAAGGGACACCAGAAGTTTTTGCTCTACTTTCTCCAAATCTTGGGCCTTTTTTACTTGAAATGTGCCATAGAAACAGCCAAGCAAACTTTAATCTGTCCATCTCAAGACTCACTGCTGCTGGTAGACGTTGCTCGCTGTAGGCAGCAAAGTCTGTGCCTATGTGATTATAGTCGTGATGTTTCAGGTAGAGGAAGGGGACTACGGAATGAAGAGTATCCAGCTGTGCCTTTTTTTCTTTGAGATTTGTATTGGTATCCACTTTTCTAGGTTGAGTCTCTACTATCTGCTTGCAATGCACTTACCTGGTTTGTCAGGTACAGTGAGTATTTCAAGAAGGTACAGCTTCCCTCAACCCCTATACCATAGCTTATTGCCAGAACTTGGCAGTCTTTCCTCTTGGATTAATTCATGTTTCCTCTGAATTTTGCCTTGCTTTCTGTCTCATTTCTTGCTTATTTTACCACTTTTTTTTTTCATGTTCATTTTCTGTGGAAATGCTGGGGGCAGCAAAGGCAATCTATAAAGTAACAATATAAAGAGTAATTTGACAGAGTGCGTGTACTCTCAGTGTAGTGCACATATAATATTTGTGCTGTTTGGCTGTTAAATACATTTTTAATTTTCTTTCTCTGATTTCTCAGGTACAGAACTTCACCACAGCTAAAAGGTTTTGCTCTTAACAAATGGCATTTTGAATCCAGCATTACTTTTCAGGCTACTACCACTCTTGGTGATAATGAGCATCAG